GTACAATGGCAGACCCTGCGCTCTGACCCCAGGCTCTCTCTCTGTCTGTGTGTCTCATGGAGAGCAAGCTCGGGTATGTGAAAAAAGATAATTCCTAATGCAAGAAATTGTAAAGGGTTAATAAAGTAATGTTAAACAAATACAGTAAACTGCATATGCAAACCCAGCACTGCCAAAGGCTCCTATTCAAGGATTTTATTTGGTAGCAGGGCTTAATTACAGTGTGTATTTCTTAATCCCATATTTTGTCAACACGGTCGAGCATTGCCTTAACCTTAATCACTACTGCTCCAAAACAGAGCGCACAGGAGGCACATCGTGAGGGTACTGGTTCATGATGCAGTATCAGAAGAACACGGTGTTTCACTGAAACATAGCATCTCGTTTGTAAAATGTCATCTTTCAGTTGGAAGCCCCCAGAAACATAGAACCGCAGGTTCTGTAAACTCAGAGCGAGTCTCAGAGAGAGACAAGAGGACCCAGGACGATGCTGGAACAGGACATACTGCCCCTCCGATCACACACAGCTGAACACGACTCTCCTAGCGGAGTGGTTTTCATAAATGAAACAGAGAAGCTCTTTTCTACCCAGTGGGCAACAGTGAGCCGTGTGGCGTTTCAACCCAGAAGTGGGAGTGTAGAAATCGGGGCCAGATTCGACTCCACTCCACGCAGGCCCTGGTCACCTCTGTCTCCTGGGGCCTGTGGTGGCGCAGTTCTCTAAGTGTAGCGATTACTATGGGCAGATGGGTGATCAAAATTATCTTGAATATTTTTTGGATAGCCAACCCTTGCCCTATATGAATATTTATTCAGGATGAGATCTTTTTGACAGTTTTTATCTTACAAATAAAATAAAATATCTTTCTTTTAATTTTCACAAGGCCCTACACACAGAGCCTAGCGTGTCTACTGGATAATACAGCCCTGGCAATAATCTTAAAATACATACTGTAAATGAACAAGTAAAGTTTTATTCCAAGGTGAAAAGAGAATAAAGGAAACAACGTTTCGGCTGTGGAGCCTTCTTCAGGTGTGAACACTTGTTGAAAAGATTTATTCTTCCACAGCCGAAATGTTGTTTTTCTTCTGTTGAGCGAGGAATAAACCCTTACCTTTCCTACGCATGCTGACAGTTACCTACTCTAGTGACATACTGTAAATGCCCGCTAACGAAGGGGAACGTGGAAGTCAGCTCTGTCCTTAGCCCCACCCGGCCTGACCCACCTCTGGGTGGCTCTGCTGGCCCCTGCTCAAGGCCAGTCCTGCCTGGGTGCTCACTGGGTGCTGTCCTCCAGCTCTGCCGCACCCCAGGAGCCGTTACGCTGTGGTCAGGAGGGCTCGGCTCAATCTCACAACGACCGGCACAGCTTTCGGGACGCTCACACGTAACCCAGGGTCTTACAGCACGAGTACAATTCATTTCTTCCGAGTTACAGTAAGTCTCACTTTGGGAATAACTCTAAACAGGCTTATATTTCAGACAGAGCGAAACGGCCTTATTAAAGCAATCAATGAAGAGCATCACGCTGTACACTGTCTTGGGAATGGCCTAGGGAGGCCTTAACACGTAGTGATCATGTTTCATTGTTTTTTTACACACGACGATGAGCTTATCCATCATATTAATGTGTTCCCTACTGCACTGGTTATTTGCCCGTTGAAGGATCCTGAGGTCCGACAGTCTCCGCCGACGGCAGAGGGATTCCCTCTTCACGTGACAGACACAAATATAATCATGGCAGCATTCTCAAACACACACAGGCTGCATTGCAGACTCGGTTGTTTGTGCGTCTTCATTCTACTTTTTCCAAACATTTCCAACACAATAGTGGTGACCGAGTTTCACAGATGCTGCACTGTCTGAGACGCTGATGGGGCAGAAGAGTCGGGTCGCCGCTTATACCTGAAACACACGAATGAGCCTTGTGCCATACCATTCGCCTTCTCCTGCAGGGCATGAAACGATCTTTTCTTCAAACGCCCACTGTTTTACACACTCCCCAGATTAGAAAATGCAAAGATTCCCCCCCTAATATTCCAAAAGTTAACAAATGCCTAGCCCTGTGCCTTTACCCAGATATTGAATAAACCCGTTTCACACACTCTTAAGCGTTACACTTCAGTACTGTTAAATGGGAATGTGGGTTCCACTACAAACCAGCTACAATGCCAGCATCATGTTTTATTGTATCTGCAAAGTGTTAAGGATCTAAAGTTCATTTCCTACATGTGACTGTTGCTGCACTTATGCACTGTTCCTCGATGACCCGCTTGTATATTTAAAAACGTGTTTGTGTCCATCACAAGATGTAGGCCTAATACATCATGAGAACCTAAACCTCATACAGCATCAAGTCACGACTGCAAACGCACTGAATTGCCAGGGGAGCAATAGCACACAGGGTGAAAACTACTCGGACCCCATGCAGATACGCACTGGCCTACAACGGAATGCACTCGCGCAGTCTCCCGGAAATCCTAATATTTGTATAATGGAAGCACTTCTGTTGACCCTTCAATGTCACGGTAACTTTAAGGAGCCACGGTGCAGCCAGCAGAGCTCCGAGGACAGGCGCAACACAGAGACGCTCTGCTGCTCGGATTCGCGACAGAGGTCGCTCTCTCCAGGGGTCTGCTCCTTCACTTCCCAGCCCACCTCTCTCGGTACAGACCTGTTATCGTACCCCACCATCCTCCACCCTCTGTCCCTGCCTGACCCCCCTCTCAGCTGCGCCAGGCCTCCCAGATCCCTCTCCCTCCCTGAACCCCCCGTGCACTCCCTTGCTCCTGCCTGGTAGTTGAAATGACATTTTTAAAATATTTGTGTTACCATTGTATTCACCCGAGCATTGCTCTGACCGTGCGCAGGCGTATATTGTCCGTAAGGGCGTCTGTTAAGCATTAAAAACCTAATATATTTTTTTTAATTACGTAAAAAACTAATAAACCTGCACTGCACGGTGCACGAAAAGATAGTTTCTTCGATCAATTTATCCTAAAAGCACCGCGGTCGTATCCTAAAGAAAAATGTTCATCTAACCCCCCCGCACACACAGACACAAATCCTACTTCCTTTAACTTGCAAACATTCGAGTTGGGAAAGGGAGAAAGTTATGCATCGTAAAAATGTATCGGGATGAGCGCTAAGCACCTCGAAGGCGCCCGGCCAGACGAGCCTATCCAGCCGAAGTTTTTTTTTTGTGTTCATTTCTGAAACAAGGCCAGAAACGCCGGTGTTTCCAGGCTGCCAGCTGTGATGCAACCCAAGCAGCAGCATCTCCTGCTCCCCACCTACACGCCGGGCACCTGCTGCGCCTGACGCGTAACCAGCGACGCACCAGCGCCGGGCGAGCTCGACTTGCACCGATCAACCCCCCTCACCCCCTGGGTGTTTTTAAATAACGACCCCGCCACCCCCAGCCTCCCACCTCCCGCCTCCGCCTCGCTCTTCGGGGGGTGCTTTGAAAGTAATGTCGTATTCTGCATGGTCGGAGGTCTAAGGAAAAGCAGCGACGCCCGCGTTCGCAAGGAGGGGAGGACAGGGTACCGCTCCGGGCGGGGACCACCTGCACCCCCGTCTCCTCTGCAGACCCCCACGATCGGGGGTGACGGCTTTTATTCCCGCATCCCAAACGGAGGCAAAGACGCTCGACGCCTCCCGAGCTTGCATTTCCCCGTGCCCGACGCACGCCCAGTCGGAGACCGGGAAGGGCTTGGCGAGAAGGTGGTGGACCTGCCCGTGTGCCGGGCGCACCGCCGCCTGCCTGCGGGCTGCACCGCGCACAGATGCCGGGCAGCCGGCGGGGTACTTACTGAGCTGCCCTCCTTGCCCGAGCCCCTGCTCCTTGCAGGCGGGCGGCGTCCCGCTGTGTCGCTCGAAATTGCCCGGGTTGGAGAAATAATCCCGGAGACGGGGCAGCTCCCTGCCGGCCTCCAGCAGCTCGGTGTGAAACTCCAGCGCCGTGAGGATGTACTGGTCCCGCAGCAGCTGGGCGGCCATCACGTCCGCGGGCACCCGCACCTCGGCGGCGATGGCGGGGGCCGAAGCGCCTTCCCCGCTGGGGCTCGTCCTGCTACCGCACGGCAGCAGC